TCCTCAGCGATTAATAAACCTGGTTCCAGATGTTCCTCAGCGATTAATAAACCTGGTTCCAGATGTTCCTCAGCGATTAATAAACCTGGTTCCAGATGTTCCTCGGCGATTAATAAACCTGGTTCCAGATGTTCCTCAGTGATTAATAAACCTGGTTCCAGATGTTCCTCTGAGATTAATAAACCTGGTTCCAGATGTTCCTCAGCGATTAATAAACCTGGTTCCAGATGTTCCTCAGTGATTAATAAACCTGGTTCCAGATGTTCCTCTGAGATTAATAAACCTGGTTCCAGATGTTCCTCAGCGATTAATAAACCTGGTTCCAGATGTTCCTCTGTGATTAACCTGGTTCCAGATGTTTCTCCTGCTGACTGTTGAAGCTGAAGATGGGATTATAATCCCACATTTCTCCTCTGACTGCAGGCATTTATCCTGTCTCATGTAGCTGAGTCACCCTGCTGTAAAAACCTCCTGATAACCCAGATTATTAATCTGCAGACCAGACTGGTCTGACCCGGACCCAGACCTCCCCTGGACCACCCTGGAGCTTCAGGTTTTATACAGTTCAACTAAAATAATCCAGTTTATCAGCAGATTAAATCAGGTTTAAAGTGTTTCAGTCCTTCAGCAGCTGTTCTGGTGAAACTGCTTCCAGCTCGATGACAAACACCTAAAACCAGGTGTACCAACTTCTACAGAACACTGTAAAAAACACAACACCTGGTTTGGTGTCCTGCTCAGGTGAGTSACCAGTTAAAGTCAAAGTTTATTTCAGGACAGAGCAGAGGACATTACTGTCCTCACAGAGACATGATAACGGTCGCTCAGGTAGCTCCAGCAGCCAGGGGCACTCACCTTGTCCCAGGTTAACCACAGGTTCACAGCCGTGTCCAGCTGCGGGTCCCCGGTGCTCTGACAWGCCGTGTTGGCGTTCAGGTCCCCGGGGCCTCCGCTATCCTCCATGCTAACCGACACCACCGGGCTACGGTTCGGCCATCAGACAGAAGCGAACAGGTGGAGAGAAGGCTGCTGGTCCACTCTTCTCTCCGGACTCTCACCGGGTTGTTCTCACTGCGGCTGCGCGTCAACCGAGACTCCGCCCCTTCCGCCTCCGCTGCAAAGTTAGCCACAGTTAGCTAATCTGAACGATCATCAGACATAAACAAACATATAAATATGCATGTGTAGCTCCTCACACAGACTATTAACCGATCTGTTTACACCGACAAACRGTTTTATAAATAAAAATGATTTTTATTCACACAAAAAAAAAAATCGGTTACAGTAATCACTTCCGGTTTGCAAAAAGTACATATTTTAAAACTTGAAAAATATTTATTTTTATTTTTAACGTTACATTTTAAGTCCCACTAGTTTAAAACACTTAAATTACATAGTTTAAAAATCAATCAGCCAAATGATCAATCAAGAACAATATTCACATTTTCCGACTGCACCAAGAGCCAAAGAGAGAAATCCACTATAAAACTTTAAATAGATTATATCAGTTTAATTATTTTATTCTTCAGAGGTTTGGTGTTGAAACATATGTTCTGATATGTTTGACTGGTTATTTCCCACAGTTCCCAGTCTCCAAATGTTCTCTGAAAACAATATAATTTATGGCCTTATTATGGACAATAACAACAGTGACTTTCTCATCAACACTATTATCATTCTGGGGAKTTTTTTCATCCATAAAGCTAAATATCTTAAGGTTAAACCAAATTTCTGTTATTTTCACAATGATTTTATTTTCTACTGCAGTTCTCTTAAAGTGATGCACACTAAATATGCCCACAATCTGTGCTCTTTAATTAAAGAGTATGATTTAACATCTAAACACTAGACTTTTGTTTGTTCTGTTCTTTATTTCTTTCTTTATTTGATCATTTCTCATCTTTATTTGCACCCATCCTTATCATTCGCAAGTTTGTTTTTTGAAATACACCATATTGTTCGTGCATTGTATCATTTTGTGTGTTCTTTGTTCTTTAATAAAAAATAATTAATTTAAAAGATAACATTTACTTCCGGTGCAGTGCTGACTCAGTTCAGGCAGTTTTCCAAACCAGGGTTCCTACAGTTTAAAGCAGGTTAAATTGAAGACATTTTAATGCCAAATGAAATTTAATTTAACACCAATTTCACAATAAAAAACAAAGGACAAAAAAAAAACTGGCATAAACTCATGAATCAAAGTATTTTTGGCTGAAGTATTGAAATATTCCTAATAAACCAATTATTTTAACCACATCTAACTGATCTTTTGTCAAATATAACAAAAACTTTCAGTTTAAAACTTGATTTAATTCCTGGAAATCCTCCAACGACCCAAAATCTGGAAGTMTAGGACCCATAGTGGGGTCTCAACCCCAATTTGCTGTCGATGAAACCTTAAAGTGCCTATTATATCAATTTTTTGTAAGAAATGTGAAAACATTTTTGGAAAGACAACATTAACATGTTACAAAATGAATTTGACGATGCGCAGACYYACGGTTGTTGAGATATTTACATGTGAAATAACAGGAAGTGATGTCAGAGGAATGTCAGCATGTGAATACTTTTAAAAATAAATATTGCCAATTATTTTAATATTTAGATGATTAACACCATCCTATTGACATTTTATGACTTTTGAAAGATTGATTTAAGTCATTTTAAGGCTAATTAAGGCCTTAACTTTGGATCGATGAATTCAATGCCTTTTAAGGTGTTTTAAGGATGTGCAGGAACCCTGAAAAATGAATAAAACACTGACGGATGTTTGCAGTGAAATCTGAAACACCTGACATGTTAACAGGATCTGATTTAGAAGCTGATCTTCACTGAGACGGGTTCTGCTGGTTTAAACGTGGACCTGAAGGGTCCTAGCAGGTTACAGAGTTAATCCAAGCTTTTTCCCTCTGAATGTGTTTGACTCAAATTAAAAGAGTTCAACAAATAAGAAAAACATGTTTAATATTTTTAAATAAACAAAATTCAGTTTCAGATCAAAACCTTCAGACCAGGAGGGATTTTCAGAAAGATTTGTGTTTCTGTTTGTGAAGGAAATGGTTTTTAAACATCTTTCTGTTCTCATCGGTTCTGTCGTTAATAAATMAGGTATATTTAATAAACTTTATATATAGTGTGAAACTATAATTCATTCTGCTTCTGCACATTGTTCAGCACATAACTTCATACACCTCTACGCCGACGASARGCCGCTGTCCTCTTCAGACTCAGGTGTGTCCCCGTCCGTCAGCCGACAGGTGAAATGCTGTGTGAAGGCGTCCAGCAGGTGAGGGACGGTCTCTTCCACGCTGACGTCCCTCTGCAGCTGGCGGCTCAGCGACGTCACGCCCTTCCCRTCGATGCCGCACGGCACGATGTGGCCGAACCAGGACAGGTCAGTGTTGCAGTTCAGAGCCAGACCGTGAGACGTGACGTAGCGGCCGCAGTGGACCCCTGACCACGAGACAACAGAGGTGGACTGAGGGAACGCCTCGAACACAGACCCTCACAGGGAAACAAAGCCGGGCGGACCTACCGATGGCGCAGATCTTCTGGTCTCCGACCCAAACTCCGGTGTGAGGAGAGGTCGTGGCTTCCACGCCGAACCTGCTGCAGAGGGTGATGATGGTCCGCTCCAGTTGACCCACGTACCAACGGACACTCTGACAGGACAGAACCGACGTTACAACKAGTCCAAACACGTCCCTGACCTCACGCGGCTAACTTCTGACCTTTTTGAAACTGCACAGGTTCAGAACCGGGTAGCAGACCAGCTGTCCTGGGCCGTGGAAGGTGATGAGTCCTCCTCGGTTGGCGCGGTGCACGTCGGCCCCCAGCAGCCGGAGCCGGTCCAGCAGGGCACCGGGYTACGGCTCGTGTCGGATCCCGGTGGTGTAGACGGGCGGGTGCTCACACAGCAGCAGGGCGTGAGCCGGACTGGACCGGAGCCGGTTTACATAGACTTGCTGCAGCCGCAGACCCTCCTGGTAGGACACCAGGCCCAGGCGGACCACCTCCACCAGAGGCCTGCTGACCTGCATCCAGAACTGAAACAGGACCAGAAGAGAACCCAGTCAGAACAAACTCAGTGTATTTATAAAAACCAGAGATGTTATGTTGCTGTTAAAATGTTTTTAACGACTGAAGGACTCCCTGACTTCCACAAAGTGAAACGTTGCAGAACCTGGTCGAGAATCTCCCTGATTTTAATCTTTCCTTGGTTCTCCAGAGGTCCAGTTACTGTTGTCAGAACAAACTTGGGTCCATTACAGACTACAGAGGCTCCCTGTCAATTCGGCTGATTGTTTTGATGAAATGCAGTCAGCTGCAGGCAGATCCAGGCCTGTCCCAGCCTGCAGCTGTGATCTGCTGAATCCACGGAGCCGCGGTTTGATACAAAACATGAATTTATTCTAAGATTCAGTTTAAAATCATCATTTCTGCTTCATTCAGCTCATTCCACCTGTCTGACTGTGCTCACCTGTGTAACAATCCCACTGTCAGCCACGAAGTTTATCAGCTTCCGGTTGCGCAGCTACAACCGGAATACACCGAGCATTTCAAAATAAAATACTTCAAAGGAGCGCAAAGAAAATATTGTATAAAAACTTTTACAAAACCATGACCTGTTATTATTTATCTGTTTATATTTACATCGACAGAGTSATGGAGTGGATGTAGGAGTTTAAAAGTTGTTATTCTGGAGGATTGGATAGAGTGTTTTAGCTTTTTTACAGGACTTTATTTTTTAAATCATGATCTCAGTAAATGCTGCTTTGGAGAGAAAATTCAGCTCCTGCTTCAGGTTTAGAAGAATAGTGGAGTTAATGSTTTTTTTCTTTTATCATGTAAGCAGGAGAAAAACAAACATGTAAAATGAGACGTTTCACAAAGCCAGAAGAAAATCTAAAATTGGATTAACCTGATTATCATTCGTTCATTTTATTTATTATATAAATGGCACTGCATACAATATACAGCAACATTAATATAAATGGATAACACAATAAAGCATAAAGCTTGTTTCCATTGTGGTCCAGCTATGATGACTTAGTTTAGAGCCTTTTGTTAAAAAGTCTCTGGTTTTATTTTGAAATCTGATCAGGCCGGCGGGCTTCACGCGCGTTCACCGTGCTCTCGCGCTGCTCGGGGCGGAGGGGCGGGGTTTGTTTTGAGAGCGGAGCGGAGAGAGAAGACCAGGAAAGATGGCGACCGCGGGGCTAGTCGAACATCTCTCCGGCCCGACCCCAGCCGACATGTCCCGGTTAGCGCCCGGCCCCGGAGCAGCCGGGTGCCGGTCCGGGTCCAACCCTCCGGACAGCGGGGCGAAGAGGTGCGCGGCCTGCGCGGAGCGTCGGCCCGGCGGCAGCTCGGCGGCCTGTCCCCTGTGCCCGGCCCGGAGAGTCCCGGCCAGCGAGGAGCGGCTCCGGAGGAGGAGCGACCCCGAGAGAGGCAGCAGCAGGGCGGGCAGGAGGGACTGCGACTGTCGGAGAGGTCAGTGGGATTCTCCGGGGAAAGTCCAGCTCACATGTCGCTGGATCAGCACCGTCAGGCTGTTTGTTTCACCAAATACATGTAAAAACAGAAAGAGAAGATTATTTTATTAGATTATAAAACAATCTTTGGTAAGGTTTATGAGGAAATTAGCCTAAAAACAGCATATTTTAGCTGTTTTCTGCAGGTTTCAGCTACTTTTCTTCATATTTGAGCTGGTTTTGATGGGATTATAATGATTAAAGTGATTGTTGTGAAACTGATAAAAACKGGTTAATCAGAAATAAATCAATGAAAACATGATTATATGAACACATGAGTGTCCTCAGAGCAGRTCAGGGTTTACAAGGTGGATCCTTCAGGACTTGTCCAGACTTGTCCAACTACCAGGACTCAGAGTACCATCAGACCTGAGAGTACTACCAGACCTGAGAGTACTACCAGACCTGAGAGTACTACCAGGACTCAGAGTACCATCAGATCTGAGAGTACTACCAGGACTCAGAGTACTACCAGACCTGAGAGTACTACAGGACTCAGAGTACCATCAGATCTGAGAGTACTACCAGGACTCAGAGTACTACCAGACCTGAGAGTACTACCAGACCTGAGAGTACTACCAGATCTGAGAGTACCATCAGACCTGAGAGTACTACCAGGACTCAGAGTACCATCAGACCTGAGAGTACTACCAGACCTGAGAGTACTACCAGACCTGAGAGTACTACCAGATCTGAGAGTACTACCAGGACTCAGAGTACCATCAGACCTGAGAGTACTACCAGACCTGAGAGTACTACCAGACCTGAGAGTACTACCAGGTCTGAGAGTACTACCAGACCTGAGAGTACTACCAGATCTGAGAGTACTACCAGGACTCAGAGTACTACCAGACCTGAGAGTACTACCAGACCTGAGAGTACTACCAGATCTGAGAGTACTACCAGATCTGAGAGTACTACCAGACCTGAGAGTACTACCAGATCTGAGAGTA